GTGCGGAATAACCCCACACCTTACTGCCTACCTCCACCGCTCAACTCCGTCGCGCCATTGCCGACTCCGCAACTTGCAACAAAAATTCACCACACACACACCACACCAAACAACTCAAATTTTCACCGTACCTCCCGTTTCCATCTTCCTTCTTTCTGCCGATCAAGTCGTCCGTCCACGGCCTCCTTCCCTCTCCCTTCTCGCTCCCCTCCGCTCCGACTCTCTCCTCTCTCCTTCTGGAACTTTCCTTCCCTTCTTCTTCTCCGCTCACTTCTTTCCCTCCTTTTCTCTCTTTTTTTCTTTTTTTTTTCTTTCTCTTCTCCTTTCCCCGACCTCCCTTTATACCCTGCTAGCCTATCCAAAACGACGTCGTTTTTTTTTCTTTCAAAACGACGTCGTTTTCTACCTATTAGAAATTTATTTATTTTTTTTTCTTTTCTTTTTGTTTCTAGTCCTTCCACTGAGCTATTTACAAGTGCATAATGTGATAATCTGTTTCACCTTTGTTTATTTTTTAAATTTATTTCATTTCTTCTCTTTGATAGTTTCAGTGACTAATGAAACTGTTCCAAATGGGAAAGAAGACATCCCCACTTGTTTATGCCAGGCAAGCAGGATTCTACTAGGTTATCCAGGTTAGAGTTTTCTTTTTTCAAAAGATTTGGTGCGGTCAATGAGAGAGAAACTCAAAGAAAGGAGGTGACAGTTTCTCCACTATCATATAACAGTACCCATTTTTTTGTCTGAACTTCTCTAGTTGCCTTGTAATGCCTCTGTCGCCTTTTGCTTGATTTCTTCCTTCTGTTTGTTTTCCTTTTTAACCGTATCTCAAGTTTGAAAAGGAGCTAAAGTTTATTATGTTTCGCATTTCTTTTCGTGTCATCTCATGATTGCAGATCTTTTCTGACAGAAGGCTCCATGACACTTAGAATTTACATAGCTAAGTCAAAATTTTAACCTGATTGACAACACAGATCCTTGGCTTGGTGATTGAACTTGAAAACTACTGATTACGTTAAACCAAACCTTAACATTCTTTTTCCTTTAATTCTCATTTAATTTCTCTTTTGTTTCATTATTAATACATCCTTGAGACATAAAAATGCGTTCTTTTCATGTTTGTGTCAGCTCTAGACCCGTAGCTTCAGATCCTTAGAGACTGAATTTTCAGTTACTTTTTTGTTTGGGGGGGGGGGGGGGGGAGGAGGAGGGAATTTGCACATGAAAATTATAATAAATTTTTACAATTCAAGAATATCATAGTAATTAAACCAAAACAAAGAGGAATTATATGAGAATTTAATCAGACGGTCCCATATGTGAACTGTCTTACCCGAACAATAAAATCTTGTAGGTTCACGACGGGCACATCTTTTTCACGTGGTTTCTCTGAGGTAGAATACTTTGTAGAGAAAAGACACTTTCCACCAACTCCCAACCCCCACCACACCACACCCCACATAAAGAAAAGAACAGAAAAATTCTTTTATTTTCTTTTGTTGTTTTTCGGAAATTTCATTCTCATCTTAATATTAATAGAGAAGATGCAGTTGCAACTTGCGGCTAAGCTCCGAGGAAACAACTCTCCAATCTTTGAACCTTGATTCTTTTTGGGATGAAACATAAGCAATAACTTCGTTGCAAACCCAAATGAATCAGTTCTGATAATGTGAGCTCTATCAATTTTTTAGATGAAAATGTTATTAGCAAAGTGGGGTGGACTATTAGGTGGGAGCCTTGTCACTGTAACTATGAATATCATTTTTGTCAGGATTATCATAATATATGAATCACAGCATATGATTCACCAATATTACTACTACTCCTCCACCAAGTGAATTCATGTACGAGGAGGTAAAATTTTATGTTTTACTTGGTGATAGGTGCTTGATTCACCTTAAAACGTAGGAGCAAGTTATAAAGTCTCCAAGTTATTTAACAACATATAAGTTGATACAGTTTTATATTACAAATTAGTTGTTAAAGTATCTATATAACACAAGCTTATAGATTATATTTGTTTATTTAAATATTTGGTTAAGAAAATAGTTTACAACCAACCTATAATGTTCCGATGACTAATGGAGCAACCTTGAAAAGAGGAGTGAGACAAATTTTGTAAGTAATGAATTTTTTTTAATTTTTTTGTAGAAGTAATAAGCATTGAATCTTTTAAATCGTCAAGTATTTTTATTTTTTTATTATTTTGATCTTTTATTTAGTAAGCCGCTGTCTTTTAAAAAATTTATAAACTTTGTAAAGTAATATTAAAATCCAACAAATTTCTGGAAATAATCCAACAGATTTCTGGAAATGCTATTGTAAAAATTTGTAAATTATTTAATTTATAAATTTATTGTTATTTGTCAAATAAAAAAACATTAAAATACTATTACAGGACTTATGTGCTCATATTGACCCAAAAGAAAAAGAAAACTTAGCAGACACCCTCTAATGGCCTATTTATGATACTTGGTTAATGTCCATCTTCAATTATATAGAACTTTCATATAGAATTTCTTTTTTCCCTGGCAAATGTCATCTTCTACTAGCCACTATTTCATGTGTATGCATCATGCTAGCAAATCAAAGCAGTTTTTATCATGTGAATCAATACTCAGAAGCCTACTTAATATAAATTCTCATTAGTAGATAATAATAAATGTGATCTATACGCTATGTTATACTTATATGTATATATTATGATTTGCATAATAATATATCTATCTTGTTGAGAATGACAGGAACATCATGGAAGCACTCGCCATATGTGCAGTGATTATAGGATGTATATACCCATTCAAGACATCAACCACGAACTAGACTGGGACAGCACGTGCTCATTGCACGTGCGGTGGATGATTCCCAATTATATATGCAGGTTTGCAGCAAATTTGTTGTGCCATATTTTATGTTTGCTGCTTATATTAAAGTTAAATTATACCCATGTGAAAAGCTAGGGTTGGCTTTGTTTGGACCTCCTTTTGGAAGCTTGCATTCCATGTGAATTAGAAGCATATTTTTTTAATCCACTTTGTATTCTTTGGAGTGCAGCAGGATCAATTTAGGAGCTGCAAACACTGCTTTCTTATTGTTTTGCAAAGTTGGAGAGCTGAAAGGTTTAAAGGTACGCAATATTATAATACCTTGATTTGTTTTGATTAGCAATTATTAGAGCTTTTTTTAGCTTTCTTCAATACGAAGTACTTGCATTTTAGTGGTATTTAGGTATTCTATAGATTCCTTTCTGATGCAAAACTATATGTATATAGCTAGCTATATAGGCTTGTAAAAGTTGAAGAGATTACTGTCTGTTAAAAGTTGAAGAGAATGCTTTACTTCACTAGCTTTTTTGGTATTTGGGAAATTATTATATTATATATAATAATTATGAGGGAAAACCAATAAAATTTTCTAATTATTTTTAAAAAATTAATTAGAATCATGAGTTATGGCCTCCCTCCCCTCCCTTGTGTATAATCTCTTTAAATTTTTAAGCATCGCACTCATATTTATTATAAAAAATTTTATATTTTCTTCTACATGTATTATTGTGGTATACCATTAGAAACTTTGAAATACATATTTTTGTGCGACTACACGTTTTCATGTAAACAAATTTAGTCATGTATATTAAGACTTGACATGACAAGGACATGAACCCAACTACTAGCTAGCCGGCTCAAATAATTGATATCATTCGTGAATAGCACACCATACCATCCATACCCCTTCAAAACTAAACCAAGAGATAAAATAATATTGTCAATCAGAAGTCAATGGTATAATATATAATTATATGGGGCCAAAGGTTATCATTTTATTTACTAATAAATATTATTATTTATTACTAGTATTTGTTCACATAATCATATTTTATTTTTGTACTATTTTAAATTATTTACTATTATCTTTGACTATTATTTTGTTAACACTTATGGCCATTATATCATCAATTATCTTTATTCAATGTCACTTGTCATATTGAATGTAATTACTATTTATTTCTATGGTCCGATGTAGTTTACTTTGATAAATTATCATTGTCAATATATAATAATATATAATTATAAAAAAAAAGATAGTAAATGATAATAAATGATATTTAAGTACGATACCAAACAATAGTAAAATATGGTAAACCAATTAATAAGAGAAAAATATGAGAAAATATAACCAAAGTTAATAACATAGTATAATCATGAGAAATTATTTTGTATAATGGTTTGCGGATATCACATTTATATTTATATCTATGTAAAAGTAGATGGAAAATTGATACATATCAATTACTTAATTTTTAAATTATTTTATGCTTTATATGATAATATATAGTAGTAATTTATTTAAATTTTAAATACAAAAATATTTTTAAACAAATATATTAAAATAAAACTAATATGATAGTATAGATAGTATTTATGAATAATATTTATCTATATGTTTAATAATTATCTATTTAAATGTTTTAAAATATAAAAATAAAATATGAGTATAATAATGTCACTATGTAATTAGTTTTTGCTTACAACAAGTTCTGAAATTATGTAACAAATAAACTCTTGATTACATATTTTTTTTTCTCCTTAAGGCATTTATCCTGAAGATTTTTCACCAAATAGTTTTTTAAATATTTTTATTAGACTTTTACATAATTTTTGTTCACGTTAAATGACACTTATACTTTTCATGTACTAATAGATATTATATTTTGTACATATCACCATAGTATTAATAAATCTCAATTGACCAATATGGCACATGGTATTAAAATGTAATATTATATGAAAGATTTCGTTTTAATCTTCTTCTTTAAGTCTTTTAACAAATGACCACAACTTATATCGTCAGTTGCGAGTCAAATTGAAAATTCATGTTTGAGTCTATTTGTTGTCTATCTTTTGATCAATCTTCTGTTATTTTTAGCTAAGAGTAATTTTTTTTTTTTAGCTAACCAGACTCTCAAAGAGTTTTGGTTTAAATCTATGTGTGTGTATTTATACATGCATGTGGGTATATACTTTATGTGTACGCATGGATGCATGATTTTATAGAAGTATGAGCCATATATATATATATACACACACACACAAGATTATGCTAGTCTGGTTATATTCCCATATTTCATAATTAGTGCAAATTGTTGAATGTTGATAGGAATTTTTCTCGGCTAAAATCAAGGCAATATTCTCTTGGTTGAAATTTTTAAGGATAGTGGTGTTAGTTGTTGTCGTTTGTTTGCATCTGTCTATATGTATCATATATAGTTAGGATCTCTCGTTATCTGTTAACTGGATAAGAAAACCCATATGACTCTGCCTGTATTTGTCGGGTGTTTCATTTCACCTTGTCGGCTTCAATTCTTATTTATAGTTGTCTTTTATTGCAAATAAGCTTTTAAACTATTAAAAATATTTGAATCGACTTGTTTTTTCTAAAATTTTCTGTAACCTAATTATAGTAAGATCAAATTTATTATTTGAAAAAATTATAAGTATCTTTAGTTCTTGAAATGAAATCATAAAAAAAAAAAAATTAAGAGGGTAAATTAAGTAAAAAATTGTCTCGTTATAATGAATTTACATAAATTTTTGATCAAATCATATGATATATCATAGTTAAAACTAACTTTTTTAGGGTTTTTATTTATGGGAGGTTTATGCTTTTTGTTTGTTTTTTTTTTCCCTTTTTACTTGTTTCAAGTTATGTATGAACATGATTTAATCTTAAATGTATCTGCTTTACCAGAAGTGAAATTTATTGACCGGCATAATAAATAATTGATTTTATTAATGTTCAAGTCCTGCATAATTGTATATTACTTGTGCTATTGGCTGGTGTTTTTTTGTCAAATGTAGGACGGAGGAAGTATTTTCATTATGTTATTTTGACTATTAACTATTGAGGGTTGAAGTTTTAGATTGGTGAAAATTTTGACTTCAAATTATCTATCTCTAGCTAGTTATGAATACCAGATTTCATTTATTTTTTAAAAAATAGTGAACCAATTAAGTCAATTCTCAACATATTTAGTTTGGTTAGTTTCACCAAGAGATGGGCGTGAAGGAGGTATAAGTCCCATTTATTAATTCATATTAATTTCGTTAATAAAAATATAAATTTATATTTAGTTTTTTATTTAAAATCAGTAATAAAATTTTTTATTCGCTCTATGCATTTTGGGTGAAATTTTTTACTCGATGATCAATCTCGTTTATTATTTTTTGAGTTTAAAAAATTTATGAAATATTTAAATAATGTTAATTAAAAATTATTAAGTATTTAATTAAAATATTATAATACTTATTAATTAAAATTTAATTAATTTAAGTAAAAATATAAATAATTTTAAAAGTTTATTAATTATATATGTAGCGGGACAGATGTGAGATAGTCAAATCATTAAATCTATAATTTTCTTAAATCTATTTTGAATTTATAACTTTTTACACGCACTCATTTTATATGTTATTAATTATGAACTTTTATCTGTTCCATTCGGAGTGAATTAAGGCAAATTAGTGGGTCACTTGCTTTAATGCCCATCTCTGAACTTTCTTCTTTTACTCTTTTTTTTTTTTCTTTAAAACAAATTATGTTAATATTTGAATGTAATTAGAAACTAATTAAATCAAATAAACTGGGTTTAGAACTTGTGGCTAAAACTTATGTAATTATTTGCAAAATGCAAGACTTTATATTTTGTGACAATTTAAAACATCCTGTAAAAAAGTGTATGTCTTTATATCATCATTTCCTCCAGGGAAACTATAAAATGTGAACATTTTTCACCGGGAAGTAAAAGAACAAAAAAAAAAAAAAAAGTAATAAACTTTAAGAAATTGTTTAATATTAAATTATTATTTGCTAAAAACACATGCTTGTTATTTTACATACAAACTACAACATCAACAAAGTGGCATTTTTGTCTTCTAGTGGTTGATATCGTGGACGTTCTCGGGTTCGTCCAAAAAGATACTTGCAGTTCTCACGCGTGGGGTCCACTCCTTGGTGGGTCCCTCCTTACTAAGTCCTTCCTTCCGTCAGCTGTTGTGTGTGTTATTTATGCAGCTCGCATTTGCAATCATTGTGATACGTTGTATTTAAAAATTTGTTTTGAATTAGTCTTTTTCTAACTATTGAAATATTAATTTTATATTTTTATAAAACTTATTTATTTTAATTATTCTTGCATTTACAATTATAAGATGATAGAAGTTTGGTCATGAAAGAGATGGAAAATGAGTAATTTTCTTTAGTAAGTACACACAAATATCACGTGTTATTGACATAATATTCACGTGAATTAAATTTTACACACGAATTAACGTCTAACAGTATTAACCGATATTAATAGTAAAAAAATAATTTATACAATTTCAAATGTGTGCAAGGTTGATTCAAAACTAAAAAAAAAAAAAATTATGGTGCAATTTAATTTTTAAAAAATAAAAGTAAAATTAAATATTTTACTCATTAAATCATTGTACCTTAATTTACTATTCTACCTAATTGATTAACCCTCCAATATTCAATGTAAAAGAAAGACTAATCATTAAAGTTTTATGCAGTAATAATAATTAGGCAACGGCATCTATATTTTCACCATCGCTTACATTGGTAATTAGTGTGTAGGTAATAAATTATTCCCAATTCTTCTTTCTACCCTTTTGTATAAATTTAAATAATTTATATTTTAATATTATTTTTATTTTCTATAACATCATAAAAAATAGGAAACATCTAGATGCTGCCGTGCTTTCAATTTTCAAGTCCTTCCCATTTTGAATATCCCATGTGCTGTATTTTATCATCTTCTGCCAAAAAAAAAAATTATATATATATATATATATATATTTATGTAGTGGGATTACTTTTGACAATTGTTTTGGCCGTAGTCTGCTGAATTTCACCTGGGGCCCATACGCTCTTCTTAATCAACAGCGACAGTTTTCTAATCATCCTGTGGCTGTGATTACATCACCCGCACGGACCCCACCGTGAGTGTCCTTGATTGCAAACGTGGCAATCATCTGGGCTATCCGTTTGATTAACATCGGTATTTTGCTTTTACATGTAAACTTATCTGGGAAAATCTGACTCAACCAGCGGTTAATCAGATATGATTACATGTAGCTGCGACCCACTAGACTTCATGGTGCTTCTGCCACAACCAATCAATTAATATTTATCATATTTTCTAAAATTTATATTTAAGAATTTCAGTATTAGATAATTAAAGTATTAGTTAATAGGGGGGGATTTTTCTTTTAATTTTATTATGGATAATTTATTTTAACTTACCTTATTATATTACATTTATTTATTTTTTAAAAATTAAAAAAATGATAAATAAAATGTTAATTTTTATAAAAATACATGAGAAGTAAAATAATTTTTTATATAAAAATATATTTAAATTGTAAAACTAATTTTTTGAGTTCTTTCGGGAGAGTCAACCTATGTACTTTAAGGGTAAAAGAGCAACAGTAACTCTGGATAATGTAATTTTTCAGATAAGTAGACGCGCTTAATTTGTTTTTGAGGGATAAACGCGCCTTAATTAGGAAATTACAGCATGCGTGGTTTCTGTTATTTTCCTTTTTTTATTTTTTAATTACCCAACAACTCTTGTTTTGCCTCTCTTTTTCCTGCTTGTATTCCTTTCCTTTTTTAATTTCTGCCATTTATTTTCTTTCCTATTCTGACAACAAAAAAATATTTTTAAAAATTATTTTCATTTTCCATTAACGTTGTCATCATCACCACCTTTACAAAAGTCTCTCCTTTTATCACCCTAGATTGGCCTTTTAATCGTGTCATGTACACACCCAGCTCCCTCTCTGCGTTTCTGGTTGTTATTCTTGTTTCTTTTTGGTTTTTAGAGCCTATATAAGCTCTTTTTTTGTATGTCATTATCTTCCATTTCATTCCATTCTTCCTCCTAAATTAAGAACCCACCAAAAGCTGTTTGTTTTTTTTTTCCTTGTTCTCTCTGTCTTTTCTTTTAGAGTCATTCAGAATCTGTTCCAGGATGTTTTTTGATCAATATCCATGGAATGGTTCTGAAGAAACTGCTGTTAAATTCTATGGGTTCTTTGGATTTTAATGGAGGAGAACTACCTAAGCTCCTTCCTTCAAACCCAGGTACGAAAATTCACCATTTCCGTTGTTGCTGTTTTTTTTTATTTAATTTCACATTCTTCGTCGAAGAATATCTGAAGGCCAAGACCCGTTAGTTTTTTTTGTTTTTGGATGTTTGTCTGCATGATATGGGTTGGGTGTTTTGAGTTGTTTTCAATTGATTAATGGAAAAAACGTGTTTGGTTTATGGGAAACTATGAATTAGACGTTGTTGGTATTAGAAAGATTTAAAACCAGATTGTGTTTTCTTTTGGACAGGCCTATTATTTTTGGGCAGTAAAAGATTGCAGAAACAAGACGTGGGAGATAGGAATCAGAATCCAGATTTTTGGGACAACTGAAATCAAGATATATTCTACATATAATTTTGTGGGTTATTTCAGCGTAAAAAAAATGATTATTAAGGACGAAGAATGCGATTTCTGATCTGGGTTTTTGCTAGAAAGAAGAAAAAGCCATTCAGATTATTGATTAGGACAGCTGAGGAAGAAGAACTTTTGGTTTGATTATTGAAGCTGATAATGGAGGAGGCTGCAACAACTGGGCAGGAGCAGCAGCCTGCTCCTCCCAAGAAGAAGATGACCAAACAGTTGACAGGAAAACGTGATGATACCCCTTTGCATTCTGCGGCAAGACAAGGGGATCTTGCTTTGGTTATAGAAATTCTTACCACCCCCGGAGAGGCCGAATTGAAAGAACTGTTGGAGAAGCAGAATCAGTCTGGTGAAACAGCACTATATGTTGCTGCAGAATATGGGGATGTTAATGTAGTCGGGGAGATGATAAAATATTATGATCTAGTTGATGCTGGGATCAAAGCTAGAAATGGTTTTGATGCTTTCCACATTGCTGCCAAACAAGGAGATTTATGTATTTATTTAGACGCAAAAATTTTATGCTTTACTTGTTTTGGTATTTGGTTTCTTGCTACTTTTTGGGTTAATTTCTACATTGCTATCAATTTCTTGTTATTGAATGTGAATTTAATCCATGTACGGCTTTTTGTTGCAGAGGTTTTGAAAGTGTTAATGGAGGGTTCATCCTGAGTTAGCGATGACTGTTGATTTATCCAATACAACTGCTTTGCACACGGCTGCAATGCAAGGTCATATAGAGGTGACAAATTTTCTTTTGGAGGCAGGAAGTAGCTTGGCCACCATAGCCAGAAGTAATGGCAAAACAGCATTGCATTCCGCGGCAAGAAATGGGCATGTTGAGGTTGTGAAGGCTCTTTTGGCTGCGGAGCCTGGGATTACAACAAGGACTGACAAGAAGGGGCAGACTGCACTTCACATGGCTGTCAAGGGTCAGAATATTGAGGTTGTGGAGGAACTGATTAAGGCAGATCCTTCATCGGTAAACATGATTGATACAAAGGGAAATACAGCTTTACATATTGCAACTCGGAAGGGCAGATCACAGGTAAAATAAGCTTTTCCCTCAGCCTTTGGTAATCAATCTGGCTCTTATATGTTTTACATACAGTGAACGATCATTATTAGTTACTGAGTTGATTCCTTCATTGAAAAATGCTGTTGTTATGATAAAATCTAGATTCAGGAAACTGTTTTTCTTGTAGTTCAATTGGCTTAAGTCTCCTTTTTGATTATCTTGATGACAAAAACTTCAGATCTCTTTTCGATTTTCACTAATTGCCTGAGAAAGCAGCTTTAGGCGTTAAAAATGCCTTTTGTTTTAAGGATTAAAAAGTTTGTCAAACTGTAGCAGCCAGAAAAGCACCATTTTTGGAGAATTTTTCTCCATTTTAATAAAATCCATCCAAACAAGCACTCACTAAGAAATTAGATAAATTTGATTGCATGATGTACAGCAAAATGCACTATCTTGTCTTATGTCCATCAGAGGAACAGGATAAGGTTGTATTATCTGTCAAAGCTTTCTCTTTTAGTTGATATTCAATGAATCTCAGGAGTAATACTATGTTGCCGTTGCTTATTACCAAAATGTACTCCTCTTCTGGCAGTTTATTTGCTGTCAACATGATCTCATTACAAACTCTATACTTAGATATTATTTGTCTGACTTCTCACCCATTGCTAAACTTATTTTGAAATATTTTTGATAAATTGTAATTCGTCTACATAATTTGAATTGGTTTAGTGCAAATTTAGATCGAATCCTACTATTCAAATCATAAATCATACTATTCAAACAACATTGTGCAAAGCGTTACATTTTTAAAAAGGTTATTGGTTTTAAATCATAAGCAGTTAGGTTCATCAATCTTAATGTGTACACAATGAAAGAGGAAAGTCTTGTGTCTTGTTTTGGATGCCAGATGGGGTTGTTAAAGGATTGATCTTATATCATATCTGTGTGTATATATATATACATGTATATACGTACACAAATATCTACCAAAATCCTCTTTGGAACGAATGAGTTGTCAAAAACTGTTTCTCTAGGTCATGTATCAGAGCCACTTTTCTTCCATTTGAATGATGATAAATTAACTGGGATCAATCATGTAGTTGACAAAAAAATTCACGTTCTGTTTCTGCAGATTGTTAAATTGCTACTTGCAAATAGTGACACCAACACAAAAGCTGTTAACCGGACTGGTGAAACAGCCATTGACACTGCTGAGAAAACAGGGAACCCAGAAGTAGCTGCCATACTGCAGCAACATGGAGTTCAAAGTGCCAAAGCCATCAAACCTCCGGTGACAAACCCAGCCCGGGAACTAAAGCAAACTGTTAGTGACATAAAGCATGAAGTCCATTACCAACTAGAACACACTCGCCAGACCAGAAAGCGCGTCCAAGGCATTGCCAAACGCCTGAACAAAATGCACTATGAAGGCCTCAACAATGCAATCAACTCCACAACTGTTGTTGCCGTCTTGATTGCCACAGTTGCCTTCGCTGCAATTTTCACTGTGCCTGGCCAATACGTTGATGACCCAAATAACATCCCTCCCGGACATACCTTAGGGGAAGCCAACATTGCTGCGAAAGCTCCTTTTATAATCTTCTTCATCTTTGATTCCATTGCCCTTTTCATTTCCCTAGCTGTTGTGGTGGTACAAACCTCAGTCGTAATCATAGAGAACAAAGCGAAGAAGCAGATGATGGCGGTGATTAACAAGCTCATGTGGCTGGCCTGTGTGCTTGTTTCAGTTGCATTTTTGGCACTGTCATTCGTCGTGGTGGGCGAGGATCAGAAATGGCTCGCGATTGGAGTCACGGTGATTGGAGCTTTCATAATGGTTACCACATTAGGCACCATGTCTTATTGGGTTATTAGGCACCGGATTGAAGCTTCCAATGCAAGGAGCATCAGAAAATCATCAATGGGCAGTAGGTCAAGATCCTGGACAGTTTCAGCAATATCAGATACTGAGGTCTTAAACAATGAGTATAAGAAAATGTATGCCATTTGAGACTCCCCTACACGCCAGATTCTTTTTTTTTTTTTTTCGACATAAGGTGTATGGTAACTTCCAAATGTATATCTCTTCATGAGTCGATCATAGTTTTGGCATTTTATATAATCCTCCAAAAGTTTCGGTTTTTACCCAAAACGGTTTCCTTCAATCTAGGATTGGCCTGGCATTCTTAAGACCTCACATTGTCATGTGTAAGAGATATTCAGGCTTCAAAGAGATTTCTTGAGAACATGGCAATTTATTTTAGGAGGACTTGGGATTTTAGTGAGAAGATCACTGATTAAGACAGTCTTTTTTTTTTTGAACTTGATCACACCACTCTTTTACTGTAAATAGTTAATATCAATGAACAAATGCTGTCCTTAAGGCTTCAATTGTACTTTCTCAAAGTCAAGAGGGTCACACGTTAAATTTAACGAAAATGTGCAAGAACTCTATTTTTGTCTCTTCCGTTTTTATAATTTTTTTTTTTTTTGCATTTAACATTGTCAATTTTTAAATTTGATCCAAACATTTTTAAAATGTCCCTAATAATCAATGAATGACAAATGTACTTCATTATTTGAATACATAATAAATTAATTTACTTATACGTCTTGTTTTTACTGTTATATAAAAAGTTATTCTAGTTAAAAATGAATTAAACGAATAAAAATAAATATATATATATATATGTATATGAGAACTTATTTTTATTATCTATTTATTATTTTTACTATTATATGGTCTATATTTATATCTATTTTTATTAGAATGTCACATCGTATTGATATATAAAAGTGATTGAATTACAATTTTCATAAAATAAAATTTAAAAATAATTGCAACAAAAATAAGTTTATATTATTATTTATTTATTAAAAATAATAATAATAATAATGAAGGAACTAGTTAACATTGAGCTCTCAAGAACAACAAACAAATTAAGCATAATAAATTTATGATTTCTAGTGACCCATTGAGTAGTATAGTTCAAATAATGGGGATGAAATTCCACAAATCAAAGCAAAAAGCCGAAAAATCTATGAAGAAGTGACCCATTTGATTGTGTTTGATGTTTGACATATATATAACTCCAAAATATTTGATTTAAATAAATCAAATATTATAATTCGTAAATTAATTATATTTTACACTTTAAATAATAATAATATAAATTATTACATTGTATTGAATTAATTTTGTTTAAAAACTTGATTCATTTTAAGATTGTGCAAAATGTAACATCTTTAACTATAAATAAACTAACATCTAGAGGGTATTTTAATACCATTATAATAAATATATATACATATATATATATATATGAAAAAGATAATTATGCTTAAAAATTACATTAAAACCCAATTAGCACAATCTTCCTTTTTATCTTCATCGTGCACGATAGCGACTCTTGGTCAATTTTATTCACATTAATTTATCTATATTGAGAGCTCGTGTATATAATAATGTTAAAATTTATAAAATTTTTAAATAAATAGATTAATTTAATATAATATATTAAAACAAAATATACACTGTTATAATAAAAAATCTATACTATAAAGACATTCGGTGATGATAGAATTTTTCGATATAGATTAAAATTTTTTTATATATATTTAAAAATTACAAATTTCAATCTCAATGAAAATTTTAAACTTATTATTTTATGGGTATATAGTAACGGACAATAACTAATAGTTAATGGTTAATTCAGTAAAATTAATAACTTATTTTATTAATATATTGATAGAATTATAATAATTAAATTAGATCAAATTTTAATGAATATTTATATTTTTAAACAAAAAAAATATTATAAGATGATTAAATTTATTTAATTAGGGTGGTCATTATATTTTTAAACAAAAAAAATATTATAAGATGATTAAATTTATTTAATTAGGGTGGTCATAATAAATTAAAATCCGACGTATGTTTTCTATTTATAGAAAAAATATCTCTAAACAATTTTTTTGTGACAATTTTTTTGGTCCACATTGTGTCAATTTGTTCTATAGTGGAAATAATTATATAAATAACAATTATAAAAATTATTTTTTTTTCTCTTATTTATAAATAGCCTACAAAAAATGCTACTAATAATGAAACTTTAATTAGTAAAATATTTTATATAAAAATAGAATAAAAAATCAATTAAACGGACTGTAAAAAATCGTTTTTTTTAACAGGGCTGGGTGATGGGCCGCAGTAAAGCCCATGAACACTACAGTCTGAGGAGGGAGTATAAATAGCGGTCGCCATGAAACTGAAACTCCGGAGTAACGAAAGAAGCCGGGCAAGGATTTTGAAGCAGAAATTGAAGGGAAAGGACGAAGAACTATCATTTCTCTCTGCAGTTTAAAAGTCGATTACAGTTATATTCAGGAATGGATGATGAATTGTTGGAGCTGCAGAGGCAATTCGAATTCGCGCAGCAAGCGAAGTCGAGTATCCGATTATCGGAGCGAAATGTCGTCGAATTGGTCCAAAAGCTTCAGGAGCTTCGCATCATCGATTTCGACCTCCTCCACACCGTCTCTGGAAAAGAATACATAACTCCTGTACTTCTCTTTCTCCCTCTATCTTGTTTGGTTTCTGAGAAAACTCATGTGGGAATAATGCAAGGAAAGGAAAATTTTGAGCTTATGTAAATTAGGCATCAATTCATTCCCTTATTTCTGTGTGAATCTCCTTAATTGGCTGTCTGTTTGGTTATCGAGGAAAGGTATACCAATAGGATGTTTTAAATGATGATTTAAGCTCAATTTAGGGGTAAATTGAGCAAAGTGAGTCGAAATAGTTCAATCAGGCTTTACTTAGTCTTTGTCATGCATCAAATTCTGAATGCAGCTGAGCAAATAAATTTCAAATATTATGTCATGTTCTTGTAAATGAAATTTATTGGTTTCTGTTATTGCTCGTCGTCATTGTGCTATAGGAGCAATTGAGGAGTGAAATTTTGGCAGAGATCAGCCGACTAGGGCGTGTCTCCTTGATTGATCTGGCAGATATTACTGGGGTTGATTTGTATCATGTTGAAAAGCAAGCTCAACATGTAGTCTCAGATAATCCGGGGCTTGTGTTAGTTCAAGGGGAAATAATATCACAATCTTATTGGGATTCTGTTGCTGAGGAAATCAATGAGAGGCTTCAAGAGTGCAGCCAAATTGCTTTAGCAGATATTGCTGCACAGTTACAAGTGGGCTCTGAACTGGTGGCATCTGTTTTGGAGCCCCGCCTGGGAACTTTGGTAACCTAAATCTTGATTCTATGGAATTTTATATCTCCCAGGGGAAAAAATGTAATGGAGTTTCTTTTTTAATAATTTTTTAGGTGAAAGGTAGGCTTGAAGGTGGGCAGCTATATACGCCGGGATATGTAACTCGTGTTAGTGCCATGGTCCGTGGTGCTGCTAGGGGTGTCACAGTTCCAACAAATTT